GAAATATCATTTTTAGTGTAAAAACCTCCTGCAAAGAAAACGTGAAGCCCAAGAAGCCTACCCGAGTTCTACCAAATGTTGAAGAACTAGTATCACTTCTTATTAAAGCCTTTTGGAAAAATATAAAGGGGGAATACTTTCCAGTCCAGTCTACTAGATTGACATAAAAAGAACAACATGACAAGGAAGAAAACATTGGGAACACACTACAAGACAGAAGAAACCATCAGGAAATATAAAAGGCAAGGTTTTGGACAAAATATTTGTAAAATATGGATTTTTACAAAGGATTTGCATCTAGACGACACAAAGACCTTTTACAACACAATAATAATAACAAAAAAAACCACCCCAAAATCTTTAAATGGGCCTAAGATTTAAGGAGTATCACCAAATAAAACATGCTAATGACAAATAAGTACATGACAAGATGGACAACAATAATTGTCAGTTGGAAAACAGTCACATCACAAGTAATCCACTATATTTTTGATAAAATGACTAATATTTGACAGATTTGTCATACCAACTGTTGAGTCGGATTTGATGCAACTTCAATTCTTACACATTACTGGAAATGTACAAGTACTGCTATCACTCCTTCATTCACTCATTCACTGACTGTCACCGAGGCAATTCCACCTGGAGTCTGACCCTATACGACAGAGTAGAATTGCCCCTTGGGAGTTCTGAGACTGGATCTTTACATGATTAGAAAGCCCATCTTTATATCCAGACTATGGAATGGTACAAATCACTTTAGAAACTAATTTTTCCACTTTTAAAAATTTAAACATATATCTACAACAAAACCTTGGTATTTTATTTCTAGTTATTTCCGTAAGATAAATCACAGTATTCGTCTAACAAAGACTTGTGCATGCCACTGGAGATCCCCTTGCAGAGGGGTCTCGGGGAGGAGATGAGCCAGTCAGGGTGCGATGTAATAATGATGAGAAATACAACCTTCCTCTAGTTCCTAAGGGTTTCCTCCCCGCTCCCACTACCATGACTC